TATATATATTATATATATATATATATATATATATATATATATATATACAAAAAATATTATTGACAATACATTTTATACTTTTTCTTAAAGAAGGTTTATAATTTATTTAATTATTTATTTAATTATTTTTATTTTTGTTATTTTTAATTATCATTTATTTAAAAAATAACATTTTTGATAATTTCTATTTAAATAACGTGAATAACGTGAATAACGTAAACTAAATGAAGTTATATAAAATAAAATTAGTTATTTCTTACTTTTTATACTTTTCGCTGGACGACTTCCGTATTCAGGAATTGTTGTAATGTCTTTAATTGTCTTAAAATTTACATAATTTATTCTAGTAGACGTGAATAAAAACTTCTCATGTGGTTAATGATTATCCTATTATGCTAGTAATGTTGTTATGTAACCAGCTAATCACAGATATCGTTTCCTTCATAATCAAATGCGCAGCATTTGTGTACTACTAAGTGCTACTGAGAATGATAAAAGCTGCGCTAATCATATATTACAGGTTATTTAAAATATAATCTTATGTAAAATGCTTAAATACTTTGATAATATGAATATAAATAAAATTTGCAATTTAAGAATATTAACTAAAAATTCAAATTTATACGACAAAGAGTAATTTAATACAAAGTATTTTATACCTTTTATTAGAATTGATTTTATTTCAACATAGTGTAAAATTTAACCTAACACAGAAGAGAACAGATATATTCTGATTGATTTAAATATATTTTGCATTTTTCCGCTTTATGATTATTCAATTAAATAAAAATCATAAATTTAAAAAATAATAATTCATATTTAAAATATATCTTCTTAAGAGTAAAAAAATTAATTCTCTTACAAGAAAAACTATTGTTTAATAAGTAAAAAAAAGTACATAAGTAATTATAATAATATAATACACAAATTGTATTATAATATAATTATAATACAATTTGTGAAATGAATTTAAAAATTACAAACGCAATTTGTTAACTATATCCGTTTTACTTTATTCCGTATCAGTCAAAATTCATTCGAGGTGGCTTTCAAAATCTTTGGAACAAACTATGAATGACATTCTTGTTGCCAATAGTCACAAACACGTGTCCACTTGGATTTCGCACGGTGATTCATCTTACATTCGGACGTTCTTTTCTTAAATTTGAGAAGAGATATTTACCCGGTTCGCCTTCACTTGCCTTGAACTCAGGGGGCCTTACCACACATTCAGAGAACAGGAACTACGGCAGGCGCCTCTTAGGAATGCACCTTCTCGCAGTCTTTTGAATTCTATCCGTACGAATTCATGAACTCCTTACTCCTAAATCTGACCGGCCGGTATTCCGCCGGTATTATTCACCAGTGAAGGAAGAGGAGGAAGAATCATTTCTCTTTCTCTTTCTCTTCCTCTTCTCTACGGGTTCTCACACGGGTTCGACACGACACTCGGATGTATAGGCGTGAGAGAAAACGCAGTCGAGGAAACGAGGAACAATATCGTACGCCTACCTTTAGGGCTTGAACCCGTCGTAAATGTAATCTCACAGTAGGAATTATTATATACATAACATTTGATCCGCATTGTGCACAGCTTTAACCACCCTACAAATTTTTCTTTGAAGAATTTCGATGCATCAACTACATTTTTTGGCTTATATCACAAACATTAACCGAAATATTAATTTAATTTCTACAAAAAATGAATTTAATAATAATCGTACAATAATACTAAAAGTTGAATATCAAACTATCTATATATTTTCATATTTACTTACCGTAAGAATACAAAACACAGTAAAATATAAAAATATATAAATATTTAAAAAAATATTGATATTAATTAATTTACGAAAAATTTACGAAATTAACTCGCCAGAACATTTTGATTAACATATTCTGATAATCGCGAAACAATTTCTCTTTAATTTTAAATAAAAAGAACTTCTATTTTTTTCTTGCAAGTTGACTAAGAAAATTATTGGACGTGGGATTAAGAATGTTTTTTTTGTCGTAAAAAAATACGTGCCATTTGGTGCATACGATTTCCCGTATGCAGCGCTGTGCACTGTGGATATCATAAGAAACCGCTTCTTATAGTTCGTTGTTGCTGTTGCCACCTATTGTCGTGTAAGGAAATTAACAAGATTTTTTCTCAATTTCTTTACTGATTTTGTACAACTGGCGCGAATATACAAGTTTTAAATATAGGAAGAAAGAAATATCTTATATATTTTTCTTTTTAAATATCATTTCCTTAAAATAATCATGCTTGAAACAAGTGTATTAAAAATTGTTTTTCCATTTATTTAATAATTCTTACTATACTTTGATATTTTTTTATCATACATATTTGTTTCAGTATTCGACGAATAAACAAATTTTACACATATATATGGAAACCATTTTATAAAATATATTTTATAAAATACAAGAACAAAGAACGTGTGTATAGAATTACAGTTATATACTATGCATCATGCTTATTGCTATAAAATGCTTGCAGCTGCGCTCGGCGAACGCGTGCGATGGCGGCGGTGCAATGTGCTGATTGGTCTCGATTAAAATTGACTCGCTTGCGAAATCGTTCGAACGATCCTTAACGATGACGTCGGACAGTCGAGAATATTCTTGCCTCTATCTGCATCGAGCTAATGACGAATACTCGCTCAGAAGTTTGCGTGTAACTTTTCGTTGCTCTCACGACGCTCATGTTTATCTCATTGTAAAGGAAACTAGCGCGGAAGTTATTGTGTTGCGTAATAATATGCTAAAGTATAATTGGACGGTTATCTCCTTGCGATAATCCTCCGAGTTTTTTTTTTCCGAATGGAACGGAAAAGCGTAGGAACCTAACGGTGCCGAAGGAAAATTCGTAGACTTTGTTGAGATAACTAGGATTTATTTCAACTCGTCTCGATATTTTCCTTGGGAAGAAGATAAAGACTTTCGGGGTTCATATCGCGGAGTTGCTGAATCATTTCTTGTGTGAAACATGTATGGGCAGGATGATTCAGTAGTTTTCTCATGAAAAAGCAAATATGCCAGATTTCTAATTAAATCGAAACGGCG